ATTTTCTTACAATGTTCTTTCTCTCTTCATTTGACAATGCTGATGAGCAAAGTAAAGAATAACACAAATGTCTTTTTCCATCATTGATACAGTCATCTTGCCTACAAATTTCACTGACTCTTTTTACAAGAGCGTTAAGACTGAATGGTCCTAGGAGATGGAATTGCTCATTTTCACAGGTCAACATGAAGTAACTCAATATGACCTATAGTAATTGCAGACGAAGTATTTCTTTCCTGACCTGGGTAAACAGTGGTAAGTGGTACAAAGCCTTGATTAGATTCTACTATTTGTATAGTAACTTTTAATGCATCTGTAACTGCTTGAATGATAAATGCATCAGTCCATGTATCTTAAATACACATATTATTCAGATATCTTAGCCATGAATTTTCGGTATTGCTCTCAATAAATCTCTCTGGGTTGTCTCTCATAAATTGAACCCCAGCAGTACGTATATGCATATGATGGTTGCTATTGCCATATAATTGATGTGATACAGATCTAAAGAAACAATCACCTGTACCGCCAACATCTATTGATTGTAAACCAAGTTCACCTAATCTTGACTGCATCAAATTCTCAGAGGATATTCACCCTATGCAGAACGAAAAGAGACTGGGAGCGATCAACTTGAAAACGAGGCTAGTTGGGGCCTTGTTTACTCGTGTTAGAAATATGGCCGCTCATGGCTCTGTAAGTAGCCGTCTTTCTCAGAGTCTTACGGAGGAAGATATCCCCGGAGCATCGCTTCAGGGAAGAAATCCGACTGCTCTTAAAACAGATGAACTTCGCTTTTGGTTAAAATGTCGTGGCGATCCAGCAAAGGGGTTAAAAACAAAGGCACAATTGTCGAAAAGGTAAGTACAGTATTATTCAGTCGTTCGTGATACTTTTTAGAATTAAAAGAGACTTTGATATTGTAAATGGAGATCAAAAGATTTAGGAGTTATTTTTCTCGATGAAATGTTTCAAAAATGTAATGATTAATAGTTTTTCTACTTTTCATTTTGAAGAGTTCTTGAATATGTTGCGTCTGGTCATGATAAAGATGTTGTGGATCCCGATAAAAATCTGATATACACGCGTCGAAAGGCGAGACAAGAACAACTCGCTCAAAGTGATGTGATGCCTGAGGAAAGTACTGTTAAATTTCCATCAGCTGGATGGTCTACAAGTTTGCAACGAATGCCATTATTCACAAGGGCAGAGATGGATTTACATATTTCTAAATCTGGAAAAAACTTTGACAGAAATAAACAGAACCATGCTGTTCCAACAAGCATGAAAAAGGCAAAAAGATTTCTTGATGATGAATACCTGAAAGACTTAACTTGCGCAAGTGATGACCAATATTTCTATTTCAAATGCTTGTGTTACCATAGCTTTAAAAAAAATGAGCCAGCCCACAAATTACAAGTTGCACTTTGTTTAGTGAGTGGAGTTGTTAAATATGCTTCGTGTACATGTGTAGCAGGATCTGTTGGTTTTTGCAATCATGTGCTTGCTGTTATGATGAAACTCTGTAAGTTCAGCTTGTATTGTTGTCAAGATATTAAGGACTTGGAAAATGAATCTGATATGACACAAGCTAAGGCATGCACTTCAAGTTTACAACTATGGCACAAGCCTGTAAGAGGAGATAAAATCAAGCCCCAACCTGTCATGGAACTTGAGGTAAAAAAGTCGAATATAGACACAGAGTATAACCCTGATAGTGGAGTAAGGTGCTTGTTGTATGAAGCTAGGAAAAATTTGGGTACACAAGCATCTGATGAAGCTTTGTTAAAAAACAAGCTTCAAGAGATCAACCCTAAGTTTGCCTTGTCTCAAATTATGTCTACTGGTGGTACCAACTTACAGGAAACAAAATTTGGAAAATGTCCAAGTGGCTCATGCAAGTTACCAGTTACAGTTCACAGAGTCTAATTTTCAAGTTTTCTGTAATATTGACTCAGTGCCTAGAGTGGACTGTAATGATGAACAAAATGCTATTTCCGTATATCCTCCATTCCCTTTGCAACAATATGAGCAGTATGAAAAGCCAGATGATTTAAGCAGCAACCAGGAAGCACTCCTGGATCATTTGATTGTTGATGAGGCAAAGCTTAATACCATAGAGAAAACAAGTGAACAAGCAGCCTCACAGGAATGGCAGGCTGAAAGGAAATTTCGGTATACAGCATCTAATTTCCACACAATTGTAAAAAGGCAAAGGCATCATAACACTCTAGTAAATAATCTGCTTCATCCCAAACCATTCACTGCCAAACAAACTGCACATGGGAAAACCTGAGCCTGTAGCCTTAAGAGAATATGAAAAATATATGTTTTCAACAAGGAACCCAGTTTCAGTGTTCAAAAGTGGTCTTGTTGTCAGTATGGCCTCTCCCTTTTTAGCAGCATCACCAGATGGCAAGGTCATTGACCGAGGCTGTAGCAAGCCTTTTGGGCTGGTAGAGGTTAAATGTCCCTACTCTAAATTTCATGTGAGTCCTTT